CTGTGTGTCTCTGTGTGTCTCTGTGTGTCTCTGTGCCCATCTCAGGCCAGCCCATCAACCCCCAGTCGCGCATCTACCCCGAGGAGATGATCCAGACGGGAATCTCCGCCATCGACACCATGAACAGCATCGCTCGCGGGCAAAAGATCCCAATCTTCTCCGCTGCCGGCTTGCCGCACAACGAGGTAGTGTCAGTAGTAGTATCAGTAGTAGTATCAGTAGTAGTATCAGTAGTAGTATCAGTAGTATCAGTAGTAGTAGTAGTATCAGTAGTAGTATCAGTAGTAGTAGTATCAGCAGTAGTAGTATCAGTAGTATCAGTAGTAGTATCAGTAGTAGTATCAGTAGTAGTATCAGTAGTATCAGTAGTAATAGTATCAGCAGTAGTATCAGTAGTAGTAGTATCACCATCAGTAGTATCAGTAGTAGTATCAGTAGTAGTATCAGTAGTAGTAGTATCACCATCAGTAGTATCAGTAGTAGTATCAGTAGTAGTAGTATCAGTAGTAGTGTCAGTAGTAGTAGTATCAGTAGTAGTAGTATCATCATCATCATCAGCAGTAGTATCATCATCATCATCAGCAGTAGTATCATCATCATCATCAGTAGTAGTATCATCATCATCATCAGTAGTAGTATCATCATCGTCAGTAGTATCATCATCATCAGTAGTAGCGTCATCATCATCAGTAGCATTATCATCAGCAGTAGTAGCATCATCATCATCAGCTGTAGCAGTAGTGTCATCATCATCATCAGTAGCATCATCATCAGCAGTAGTGTCATCATCATTATCATCAGTAGTAGCATCATCATCAGTAGTAGTATCATCATCAGTAGTAGTATCATCATCAGTAGCATCATCATCAGTAGTAGTATCATCATCATCATCATCAGTAGTAGTATCATCATCAGTAGTAGCATCATCATCATCAGTAGTAGTGTAGTATCATCAGTAGTAGTATCATCATCATCAGTAGTAGTATCATCATCATCAGTAGTATCATCATCATCAGTAGTAGTATCATCATCATCATCAGTAGTAGTATCATCATCATCATCAGTAGTAGTATCATCATCATCAGTAGTAGTATCATCATCAGTAGTAGTATCATCATCATCATCATCAGTAGTAGTGTCATCATCATCATCATCAGTAGCATCATCATCATCATCAGTAGTAGTATCATCATCATCAGTAGTAGTGTCATCATCATCATCAGTAGCATCATCATCATCAGTAGCATCGTCATCATCATCATCATCATCAGCTGTAGCACCACCATCATCATCATCAGCACCACACCTTCACAGACGCTGCTGCTGCTACCGCTCACCAACAGCACTTGCCCCTACAGTCTGCCGAGGCTACACGGGGGACCTTTGCCTGTGTGTGTAGCAGTTAGCGCTGCACTACGGACCTGGCGACCCGGGTTCGATTCCCGCTCACGGCCAACACCAGTGACGATTATCTGAACCGGTCCAGGGCCTCCCCTAGGTCGACTCAGCCTCAAATGAGTACCTGGTGCGGTGTGTAGTAAACATCGCCACTGGGGAGACAAAGGCGGTCGGGCGTGGTGCTGGCCACCCACCCCCTCTGTGCCGTTCCGGCCTTCATAGGTGCTACTCGCTAACAGCACTTGCCCCTACAGCACTGTTAGAGGCTACCTGGGGGAGCTTTGTCTTTGTGTGTGGGAGTGGCTGAGTGAGTGGCTGAGTGAGTGAGTGGCTGAGTGAGTAAGTGAGTGGCTGAGTGAGTGAGTGGCTGAGTGAGTAGCTGAGTGAGTGAGTGGCTGAGTGAGTGAGTGGCTGAGTGAGTGAGTGAGTGGCTGAGTGAGTGGCTGAGTGAGTGAGTGGCTGAGTGAGTGAGTGAGTGGCTGAGTGAGTGAGTGAGTGGCTGAGTGAGTGAGTGGCTGAGTGAGTGAGTGACTGAGTGAGTGAGTGAGTGGCTGAGTGAGTGAGTGAGTGGCTAAGTGAGTGGCTGAGTGAGTGAGTGACTGAGTGAGTGAGTGAGTGGCTGAGTGAGTGAGTGGCTGAGTGAGTAGCTGAGTGAGTGAGTAGCTGAGTGAGTGAGTGAGTGGCTGAGTGAGTGGCTGAGTGAGTGACTGAGTGAGTGAGTGAGTGGCTGAGTGAGTGAGTGAGTGGCTGAGTGAGTAAGTGAGTGGCTGAGTGAGTGAGTAGCTGAGTGAGTGGCTGAGTGAGTGGGTGAGTAGGTGTGAGTGTGTCTGTGTGACATTGGGGAGACAAAGGCGGCCGGGCGTGGTGCTGGCCACCCACCCCCTTCGTGTGCCGTGCCGGCCTTCATAGGTGCTACTCGCTAACAGCACTTGCCCCTACAGTCTGTTAAGGCTACACAGGGGAGCTTTGTCTTTGTGTGTGGGAGTGGCTGAGTGAGTGGCTGAGTGAGTGAGTGGCTGAGTGAGTGAGTGAGTGGCTGAGTGAGTAAGTGAGTGGCTGAGTGAGTGAGTGGCTGAGTGAGTAGCTGAGTGAGTGAGTGGCTGAGTGAGTGAGTGGCTGAGTGAGTGAGTGGCTGAGTGGCTGAGTGAGTGGCTGAGTGAGTGGCTGAGTGGCTGAGTGAGTGGCTGAGTGAGTGAGTGACTGAGTGAGTGAGTGAGTGGCTGAGTGAGTGGCTGAGTGAGTGAGTGACTGAGTGGCTGAGTGAGTGAGTGGCTGAGTGAGTGAGTGGCTGAGTGAGTAGCTGAGTGAGTGAGTAGCTGAGTGAGTGAGTGAGTGGCTGAGTGAGTAAGTGAGTGGCTGAGTGAGTGGCTGAGTGAGTGGCTGAGTGAGTGGGTGAGTAGGTGTGAGTGTGTCTGTGTGACATTGGGGAGACAAAGGCGGCCGGGCGTGGTGCTGGCCACCCACCCCCTCGTGTCCCGTGCCGGCCTTCATAGGTGCTACTCGCTAACAGCACTTGCCCCTACAGTCTGTTAAGGCTACACAGAGGAGCTTTGTCTTTGTGTGTGGGAGTGGCTGAGTGAGTGGCTGAGTGAGTGAGTGGCTGAGTGAGTGAGTGAGTGGCTGAGTGAGTGAGTGAGTGGCTGAGTGAGTGAGTGGCTGAGTGAGTGAGTGAGTGGCTGAGTGGCTGAGTGAGTGGCTGAGTGAGTGGCTGAGTGAGTGAGTGAGTGGCTGAGTGAGTGGCTGAGTGAGTGAGTGACTGAGTGAGTGAGTGAGTGGCTGAGTGAGTGAGTGAGTGGCTGAGTGAGTGGCTGAGTGAGTGAGTGACTAGGTGGCTGAGTGAGTGAGTGGCTGAGTGAGTGAGTGGCTGAGTGAGTAGCTGAGTGAGTGAGTAGCTGAGTGAGTGAGTGAGTGGCTGAGTGAGTAAGTGAGTGGCTGAGTGAGTGAGTAGCTGAGTGAGTGGCTGAGTGAGTGGGTGAGTAGGTGTGAGTGTGTCTGTGTGACATTGGGGAGACAAAGGCGGCCGGGCGTGGTGCTGGCCACCCACCCCCTTCGTGTGCCGTGCCGGCCTTCATAGGTGCTACTCGCTAACAGCACTTGCCCCTACAGTCTGTTAAGGCTACACGGGGGAGCTTTGTCTTTGTGTGTGGGAGTGGCTGAGTGAGTGGCTGAGTGAGTGAGTGGCTGAGTGAGTGAGTGAGTGGCTGAGTGAGTAAGTGAGTGGCTGAGTGAGTGAGTGGCTGAGTGAGTAGCTGAGTGAGTGAGTGGCTGAGTGAGTGAGTGGCTGAGTGAGTGAGTGGCTGAGTGGCTGAGTGAGTGGCTGAGTGAGTGGCTGAGTGGCTGAGTGAGTGGCTGAGTGAGTGAGTGACTGAGTGAGTGAGTGAGTGGCTGAGTGAGTGAGTGAGTGGCTGAGTGAGTGGCTGAGTGAGTGAGTGACTGAGTGGCTGAGTGAGTGAGTGGCTGAGTGAGTGAGTGGCTGAGTGAGTAGCTGAGTGAGTGAGTAGCTGAGTGAGTGAGTGAGTGGCTGAGTGAGTAAGTGAGTGGCTGAGTGAGTGGCTGAGTGAGTGGCTGAGTGAGTGGGTGAGTAGGTGTGAGTGTGTCTGTGTGACATTGGGGAGACAAAGGCGGCCGGGCGTGGTGCTGGCCACCCACCCCCCTCGTGTCCCGTGCCGGCCTTCATAGGTGCTACTCGCTAACAGCACTTGCCCCTACAGTCTGTTGAGGCTACACGGGGGACCTTTGCCTGTGTCTGTGTGTGTGTAGATTGCGGCTCAGATCTGCCGTCAGGGTGGGCTGGTGAAGAAGGGAAAGGACGTGATGGATTACAGTGATGACAACTTTGCTATCGTCTTCGCTGCCATGGGGGTACTCACTCACTCACTTAGTCACTCACTCGCTTAGTCACTCACTCACACAGTGACCCACTCACTCACCCACTCACTCACTCACTCACTCACTCGCTCGCTCACTCGTTCGTTAACTCACTCGCTTAGTCACTCACTCACTCGCTTACTCACTCACTCGCTTAGTCACTCACTCACACAGTGACCCACTCACTCACTCACCCACTCACTCACTCGCTCACTCACTCGCTCGCTCACTCGTTCGTTAACTCACTCGCTTAGTCACTCACTCACTCGCTTACTCACTCACTCGCTCATTAGCTCGCTTACTCACTCGCTCATTCACTCGCTCACTCGCTCATTAGCTCGCTTACTCACTCGCTCATTCACTCACTCGCTCATTCGCTCGCTCGCTCACTCACTCGCTCACTCACTCGCTCACTCGCTCGCTCGCTCGCTCGCTCACTCACTCGTTCACTCACTCACTCGCTCATTCACTCGCTCACTCACTCATTCACTCGCTCGCTCACTCGCTCACTCGCTCACTCGCTCACTCACTCGCTCATTCGCTCGTTCACTCACTCACTCACTCGCTCATTCACTCGCTCACTCACTCATTCACTCGCTCACTCACTCGCTCACTCGCTCACTCACTCGCTCACTCACTCGCTCACTCGCTCGTTCACTCACTCACTCACTCGCTCACTCGCTCACTCACTCGCTCATTCGCTCGTTCACTCACTCACTCACTCGCTCATTCACTCGCTCACTCACTCATTCACTCGCTCACTCACTCGCTCACTCGCTCACTCGCTCACTCACTCGCTCATTCGCTCGCTCGCTCACTCACTCGCTCGCTCGCTCACTCACTCGTTCACTCACTCACTCGCTCATTCACTCGCTCACTCACTCGCTCGCTCGCTCACTCGCTCGCTCGCTCGCTCACTCATTCACTCACTCACTCACTCGCTCGCACATTCACTCACTCGCTCACCCACTCACTCACACAGTGACCCACTCACTCACTCACCCACTCACTCGCTCACTCACTCGCTCACTCGTTCACTCACTCACTCACTCGCTCGTTAACTCACTCGCTTAGTCACTCACTCACTCGCTTACTCACTCGCTCATTCACTCGCTTACTCGCTCGCTCACTCACTCGCTCGCTCACTCACTCGCTCGCTCACTCACTCGCTCGCTCACTCATTAACTCACTCACTAACTCACTCATTAACTCAATCACTCGCTCACTCACTCGCTCGCTCACTCACTCGCTCGCTCACTCACTCACTCACTCGCTCGCTCACTCATTAACTCACTCATTAACTCACTCACTAACTCACTCATTAACTCACTCATTAACTCAATCACTCGCTCACTCATTAACTCACTCACTAACTCACTCATTAACTCAATCACTCGCTCACTCACTCGCTCGCTCACTCACTCGCTCGCTCACTCACTCACTCACTCGCTCGCTCACTCATTAACTCACTCATTAACTCACTCACTAACTCACTCATTAACTCACTCATTAACTCAATCACTCGCTCACTCATTAACTCACTCACTAACTCACTCATTAACTCAATCACTCGCTCACTCACTCGCTCGCTCACTCACTCGCTCGCTCACTCACTCGCTCGCTCACTCACTCACTCACTCGCTCGCTCACTCATTAACTCACTCATTAACTCACTCACTAACTCACTCATTAACTCAATCACTCACTCACTCATTCGCTCACTCACTCACTCGCTTACTCACTCGCTCACTCACTCATTCACTCACTCTCTTATTCACTCGCTCACTCACTCATTCGCTTACTCACTCCCTCACTAACTCACTCATTCACTCACTCATTCACTCACTTACTCACTCACTCACTCGCTTACTCACTCGCTCACTCACTCATTCACTCACTCTCTTATTCACTCGCTCACTCACTCATTCGCTTACTCACTCCCTCACTAACTCACTCATTCACTCACTCATTCACTCACTTACTCACTCACTCACTCGCTTACTCACTCGCTCACTCACTCGCTCACTCACTCGCTCACTCACTCATTCACTCACTCTCTTATTCACTCGCTCACTCACTCATTCACTCACTCTCTTATTCACTCACTCACTCACTCGCTTACTCACTCGCTCACTCACTCATTCACTCACTCTCTTATTCACTCGCTCACTCACTCGCTTACTCACTCACTCACTCACTCGCTTACTCACTCGCTCACTCACTCATTCACTCACTCTCTTATTCACTCGCTCACTCACTCATTCGCTTACTCACTCCCTCACTAACTCACTCATTCACTCATTCATTCACTCACTTACTCACTCACTCACTCGCTCACTCACTCGCTCACTCACTCACTCACTTACTCACTCACTCGCTCACTCACTCGCTCACTCACTCGCTCACTCACTCGCTCACTCTCTCACTCTCTCACTCACTCCACTCACTCTCTCACTCACTCCACTCACTCACTTACTTACTCATTCACTCACTCTGTGTGTGTCTGTGTGTGTCTGTGTTTGACTGTGTGTCTGTGGGTGTCTGTGTGTCTGTGTGTGACTGTGTGTCTGTGTGTGTGACTGTGTGTGTAACACTGCGTGTGTGTCTGTATGTGTGTGTAACACTGTGTGTATAACACTGTGTGTGTATGTAACACTGTGTAACACTGTGTGTGTGTGTAACACTGTGTAACACTGTGTGTGTGTGTAACACTGTGTATATAACACTGTGTGTGTGTGTAACACTGTGTGTGTGTGTAACACTGTGTAACACTGTGTGTGTATAACACTGTGTAACACTGTGTGTGTATAACACTGTGTAACACTGTGTATGTAACACTGTGTAACACTGTGTGTGTGTGTGTAACACTGTGCAACACTGTGTGTGTGTGTGTGTAACACTGTGTGTGTGTGTAACACTGTGTGTGTGTGTAACACTGTGTGTGTGTGTAACACTGTGTGTATATAACACTGTGTGTATATAACACTGTGTGTATATAACACTGTGTGTATATAACACTGTGTGTATATAACACTGTGTGTGACTGTGTGACTGTGAGTGTAGGTGAACATGGAGACTGTGTGTGTGTGTAACACTGTGTATATAACACTGTGTGTATATAACACTGTGTGTACTACACTGTGTGTAACACTGTGAGTGTAGGTGAACATGGAGACTGTGTGTGTGTAACACTGTGTGTGTAACACTGTGTGTGTGACTGTGTGTAACACTGTGTATATAACACTGTGTGTGTGTGTAACACTGTGTAACACTGTGTGTGTGTGTAACACTGTGTAACACTGTGTGTGTGTGTAACACTGTGTGTGTGTGTAACACTGTGTGTGTGTGTAACACTGTGTGTGTGTAACACTGTATATAACACTGTGTGTGTATAACACTGTGTAACACTGTGTGTGTGTATAACACTGTGTAACACTGTGTGTGTGTGTAACACTGTGTGTATAACACTGTGTGTGTATAACACTGTGTAACACTGTGTGTGTGTAACACTGTGTGTGTGTAACACTGTGTGTGTGACTGTGTGTAACACTGTGTGTCTATGTGTGTATGTAGGTGAACATGGAGACTGTGTGTGTGTGTAACACTGTGTGTGTGACTGTGTGTAACACTGTGTGTATATAACATTGCGTGTGTGTGTAACACTGTGTAACACTGTGTGTGTGTATAACACTGTGTAACACTGTGTGTGTATATAACACTGTGTATATAACACTGTGTGTGTATATAACACTGTGTATATAACACTGTGTGTGTATATAACACTGTGTATATAACACTGTGTGTGTATATAACACTGTGTATATAACACTGTGTGTGTATATAACACTGTGTATATAACACTGTGTATATAACACTGTGTGTGTATATAACACTGTGTGTCTATGTGTGTATGTAGGTGAACATGGAGACTGTGTGTGTGTGTAACACTGTGTGTGTGTGTGACTGTGTGTATAACACTGTGTGACTGTGTGTATGTAGGTGAACATGGAGACTGTGTGTGTATATAACACTGTGTAACACTGTGTGTATATAACACTGTGTGTGTGTGTAACACTGTGTGTATGTAACACTGTGTAACACTGTGTGTGTGTATAACACTGTGTAACACTGTGTGTATGTAACACTGTGTAACACTGTGTATGTAACACTGTGTGTGTATGTAACACTGTGTAACACTGTGTATGTAACACTGTGTGTGTGTGTAACACTGTGTATGTAACACTGTGTAACACTGTGTAACACTGTGTGTGTATGTAACACTGTGTGTGTATGTAACACTGTGTGTGTATGTAACACTGTGTGTATGTAACACTGTGTGTATAACACTGTGTGTATAACACTGTGTGTATAACACTGTGTAACACTGTGTGTATGTAACACTGTGTGTCTGTGTGTGACTGTGTGACTGTGTGTGACTGTGTGTGTACACTGACTGAGTGTAGGTGAACATGGAGACTGTGTGTGTCACTGTGTGTGTAACACTGTGTGACTGTGTGTGTGTAGGTGAACATGGAGACTGTGTGTAACACTGTGTATATAACACTGTGTGTGTGTGTACTACACTATGTGTGTATGTAGGTGAACATGGAGACTGTGTGTAACACTGTGTATATAACACTGTGTGTGTGTGTACTACACTATGTGTGTCTATGTAGGTGAACATGGAGACTGTGTGTAACACTGTGTATATAACACTGTGTGTGTGTGTACTACACTATGTGTGTCTATGTAGGTGAACATGGAGACTGTGTGTAACACTGTGTGTGTGACTGTGTGTAACACTGTGTGTGTGACTGTGTGTGTGCAGGTGAACATGGAGACTGTGTGTGTGTGTAACACTGTGTGTGACTGTGTGTATACAGGTGAACATGGAGACTGTGTGTGTGTGTAACACTGTGTGTGACTGTGTGTATACAGGTGAACATGGAGACTGTGTGTGTGTGTGTAACACTGTGTGTGTGACTGTGTGTGTGCAGGTGAACATGGAGACTGTGTGTGTGTAACACTGTGTGTGTGACTGTGTGTGTGCAGGTGAACATGGAGACTGTGTGTGTGTAACACTGTGTGTGTGACTGTGTGTGTGCAGGTGAACATGGAGACTGTGTGTGTGTAACACTGTGTGTGTGACTGTGTGTGTGCAGGTGAACATGGAGACTGCGCGCTTCTTCAAGTCGGACTTTGAGGAGAACGGCTCCATGGACAACGTCTGCCTCTTCCTCAACCTGGCCAACGACCCCACGTGACACACACACCACGTGACACACACACCACGTGACACACACACACCTACACACACACCACGTGACACACACACACAGTGACACACACACACCACGTGACACACACACCACGTGACACACACACACACCTACACACACACCACGTGACACACACACACACAGTGACACACACACAGTGACACACACACAGTGTGACACACACACACAGACACAACGTCTGCCTCTTCCTCAACCTGGCCAACGACCCCACGTACACACACACACACCTACACACACAGTGTTACACACACACACACCTACACACACACACAGTGACACACACACACAGTGTGACACACACACACACACAACGTCTGCCTCTTCCTCAACCTGGCCAACGACCCCACGTACACACACACCACGTGACACACACACACAGTGACACACACAGTGTTACACACACACAGTGACACACACACACACACAGTCACACACACAGTGTGACACACACACACACAGTCACAACAACCGCCATTCGCCACTAAGTGGCGGTGACGTCACCACGATGCTTGTGCCAGGCCAAGTGCACCTTGAGGCCACGTGAAGTGTCGAACGCCCGCTGGCAGGAGGTCACGGGGCAGACCCAGGTGCCACGGGTCGACTGACCGAGATGACCGAGATGACTGGCTGATGCACCACCTGTGCCCCCTACTGTGCCAACTTGCTGTGCTTTAGCCACCCGGCGCTCCGCTCGTTGTTGTGAGCGTCGCTCCTCCGCCCTCCGTTGTTGTTGGAGGGCGACTGCCTCCAATTGCCCAGTAGCGTCCTTCACGAGCCTCCTCCACTGAGGCCGATCTTGACACCGCTGGTACCAGTCATCGGCAAGTCCACTCAGCTCCACGTCCTCCTGTACCACATCACTCCATCTCTTCTCTAGCCCGTGCCGCGCCCGTCTAGCCCCCTCGATCCGGCCAAACAAAAGCTGTTTAGGCATGCGGTGGCTGGGCATGCGGTGGCTGGGCATGCGGGCTACATGACCCAGCCAACGCAGCCTTGCCTGCCGGAGGAGCTCACTGATGGGACTTTGCCCAGGATGGATCGTAGGCAGGCCAGCCTAAATGTTTCCAACCGGCGAAGATGCTCCACCAGGGGGGTCCACGTCTCGCAAGCGTAGAGAAGGGAGGGAATGACCGTGGCCGAGAAGACCTGAAGCTTCGTGCGGAGCGACAGACCAGGTAGCTTCCACACAGCGTTACGCAACCGATGAAAAGATATTGCCGCTCGACTGATTCGGAGTGAGACCTCTGCTGTTAAACTGGAGCCGGTCATAAGCACACTGCCCAGGTATGGGAAACTCTCCACTCTCTCCACAACTGCCCCATCACCAATTGGGAGTTGTGGGGGTGGAGTGTCCGATGGTACAAAATACCCAGGCAGGTGCTTAGTTTTGGTGGGGCTGATGGTAAGGCCCCACCTCTTAGTGGCACGCTCCAGTCTCAGCAGCAGCGTCTCCAACTCCTCTTCTGAATGAGCAGCTATTACCAAATCATCGGCATACATAACGTGGTTGACCAATAGGGAGCCATCCCTTGATCGCACCCGGGCGTCGATCAGCCTCCCATTATATCTGTACCAAATGGAAATTCCCCCGGTACAGCTATTGAAGGCTTCACGAACTACGCGGTCAAAATAGA